CAGTTAGCAAACTAAGCCAGAAATCGAACATACTTTTCATGCAAGGATAACAGGATAGCCTCACAAAATGGCTTCAGCTTGTTTTCAATATGTCAAATTATTGACAACAATGCAACATGCTAAAACATAACAATAAATCATTTGATAAATAATTTCGATCCATGCGATTGCTAACAATCGAAATTGACAACTGATTACGACAGCTGACTACAGTTGCTCCCTAGGATGTAAAAATGCTACTTTAGCCAAGACACGCATGTGTTAAAAACGGCTGTTGTTGCTGCAGTTGCTGACGAAAAGAAAGTTGTTCAGCAACACTGGATCTTTGAAAGTGAAATATATAAATAATTGAAACGTAAGGAAGCCCTTTTTCGTTAACATTCGTAGATGCGTTGGATCATAAGCTTTAAAATTACACGTCAATCTTTAAAATCGGTTAAGTGGGGCAGCTGAAAAGCGATGTCGCAGAGAAAATCATTTTATATGCTATAGATTATGATCAACAGTCTATAAAATAAATTATAATTCTTTCGATTCGTTTAGTTGGTAGTTCGTTACCACAGAGCTGTCTTACCACACGAACCACAAGCTTGCAACCACAAGTCCTCCCTCAACCAAAGCCTTCGTTACTGTACCCACAAAGGAAAGTAAATGTTAGTGGTTTTAAATGAACCAGTTTGATCCCTTTACAAAGGACCCTTTCCACATAGTTAGATTTAAGTAAAAAACATATTGTGGCTTTAAAAAAAGGTGGGTGATCTTAATTTATTTGATTAGATTTTTTAACTAGTTAAAATATGCCAAAATGTGAGATTTAGGTTCCAAAATAAAATAATGGCTCGTGGTATTATCATATAAACTAAGGCTTATGTGCTTAGAAGAGAAAATGTAATTTATTTTTTTTTATTCCAATGTTCTTACTATGGAGAATTAGTCAACTGGGGGCCAAATTTAAAATACCGTTTAGTTTGGGCACCACGTTATTTTTAACTCACAGGAATATAAATTCAACAGTGTTCTGATAATGAATCGTAAAAACATTCTGACAACCCTTCGACAAAATAATAGAAAAGAGAATTAGGTTAGGGTGCTATAACTTAGAAGGCAGCGGGCAGGGGAAGGTGACGCGGATATCCAAAAGAAACGAATGTTCCCGCCATTTCTAACCGACGCCGTTGTTCTACCGCCAAGTGTGTGACGTCACCACCACCATACAGTGCTGCTGCCGCTGCCAATCGACTGCAGCGGCCATTATACGAACTAATTAGTCGTCTCGTCCCTTCCTTTTGTCTGTCTGCGTCTGGCTCTGGCAGTTGAGCCGAGCTGAGGAGTTGCTCAGCAAAGATCAGCACATTCCAGCCACGCGACACGTTGGTACTCTGCAAGGCCAATGGCCAAAGAATGCGCTGAGCGTTGATGGAGTTTTTAATGGAAACTATTTGCTCAAATTCTATGAGGCGAAAGTGAATTCTAATGCAAACTTTTTTTGCTAGGTATTTTATGGCAAATTGTACAGTGAATGTAGAATGTTCATTTATGTTAGTAGGTACCACATTGGTTCGTGTTAGCATCTATAAAAATAAAATATATATTTAAGATCAACTATAACATTTGTTTTATATTTTGGTTAGTATAGAGAAAACATCAGACAATGTATATGAATTGGGCCTACCAACTACATACACTACTAGTAGTCCTGTGATTGGGTGATAAAAAGCTTGTTTGAGTGTTTCAGGCCCGCAATATTTAGATTTGTAATTTACTTTCCATAAAGTCAACGATAACCAATAATGATTCAAATAAATTAAAATAAATAAGGTAAATGAAAAGGGTATATCGAATTTGGAATTGCCAATAACAAATAGGTGGAATGCTTTTAGTCAGTCGTGTACGGTTGTGGACTAGTGTTCAATGATGCACTGGCTAGTAAATATTAATATTGATGCGTGGTTTTATGGTGAATATCCAACATTGTTTGTTTGATAGTTTTCTGATAAAACCCCTTTATCCATCAAGTTTGGATACTCTAGAGTATCCAAACTTTCCAGTATCCAGCTGTTTTGACTTTTCGTGCTTGTAAAAATACTAAGCTGGTTTTGGCGGGTGCTGTGGCCAGTAATATTTAGGTGTGTTCATTTTTTTCTAAATACTGTTAAAATACTTTAAATGAACTCAACTATACACGAGTGCCTAAAAATCAGAGTCCACAACCTATCCAAGGCCTATTGGAGTCGACAAGTTTTTGTATGGTGTAAACAGAGGGTGAAGAAATACAAAAAAAAGTAATAATTACCTATTTTAAATTACTACTTAGGTCTGTTGCAACAGGGAAGGTAATATAGTGTGTGTTTTTAGTGAAATGTTGATAGCTATAGCTTAGTATAAAATAAATAACTTTGGCCAATTTGATCGAAAGATTTCCCTTAAGAATGCTACTATACTTAACTAGCTGTACCCGCGGGCTTTGCCCCGTTTAACTTCACAAGTGAGCCTGTTCGCATTGCTCAATCACGTCCTGGTTGAAGTTCGTTCGCTACGCACACTCACCCTTAGGTTGGAGCTCGTTTGCTCCGCTCACTTGCCTTCAGGTTAGCTCGTTTGCTACGCTAACTCGCTTCCAGGTTGAAGTTCGTTCGCTACGCTCACTCACCTTTTGGTTGCAAATTGGCTGTAGTCATAAATTTAAAAAAATAATAGTCCTGCACCCTGTTGGTAATCCTTGTAACTTTAATGCTATTAAACATCATAGAACAGAACCAACTTGTTTAATTGAAACAGCTGTTAAGAAATTCCTTTTAAATATGAAAAATCATAAGGTTAACATGGGAAACTCCAGAGCCACTGGGGCGGAGCCCGAAAGCCCGATCAGAATAAAAACTACTTAGTTTTCCTATTTAATGCCCAAAGAATCGGTGTACCGAATTTCAGACTCCTAGGTAAATGGGAAGTGGGAGAATTAGTGATGAGTGAGTGAGTGAGTGAGTGAGTGAGTCAGTCAGTGAGGGCTTTGCCTTTTATATATTTAGATTAACCATAAGGATAACACTGGAATTTTGAAAATTTTTAGATTTCGCTATAACCATTAGGCGTAAAACAATGCTTCAATGTACTAAACTATTTTGTTTTCATCTCTACAAAATGGTTTCGGGATAAAATTTTCAAAATTAATGTTGTAAAACCCAATTTTGCCCCATTACACCCCGTTCCCATAATCCAATCATGTTGCTTCGCCAACTCGATTGCTGATGAAATTTTGTTTTGTTGTAATTTAATGTTTTGTATTTATATAGGCCTAATCTTATTATAATCTTAACTAATTGTATTTTGTAAATGGCATTGCCGTGGAAAATAAAAATGAAAATGAACTCGTTTAAATAAATGCAGTTTTACACGTTTATACCGAATTTCATCAAAATCAAATGAATCGTGCTAACAGATTAATCAAATAATTTAATAAGTAATTTATTTTGAGCCTAATAAAATTTAAAACCAACCATGAATGACCAATTTACGAGTAGAAGGGTGAAACCATCTTATAACTTTCAAATATGCTAAATTGTTATTTATAAACCAGACTGCTGTGTTATTTATAGTTAGTTTACCATTATTTATTATTCAAACCTTAGTATTTGATAATTTTTCCCGCTAAAAGTAGATTTTTCATCATGTCTGATTTCTTCTTCTCCCCCACTTCCTTTCTTCTCGGTTTGAAATCAAATTCGGATTCAGTGTTCCCGTGTATGGGAATTTTTCCCACATTTTTTCCCGTTATATTTCATTTGGATGTTTGGTTAAAATAAGTTTTCCTAATATCGGCATGTTATGCTAATAGCTAGATGCGTATTTTAGGCCTAATCTAAATAAGAGTGAAAAATAGATTATAGAATGAAGTAAGAATATATATATTTGAGAAAGTATGTATTTTTTCCAATAATAATGATAATAAACATGTTATTCAAGCGTTATATATTGCCCTTAATGATTAGTTTTGATAATGTGTAATTTTTCTTAAACATGAGTATAATTTGATTCAATTTAAATTTTTTTGCAATATTTGTTTATTCCGAAATATGATTCATAATTGATCTACTAGCAGTGCCCGAAGTCTACAAGAAGTCAATGAATGTTTTATTTTATTTATTCATTCCGACGGCAATCGCTATTTTACAAAATAATACATTGACAAGATTTACATGCAACAAGATAATACAATAGAAAACATCAATAAATGAGTAAGAAGTTTGGTGGTGGTGGTGGACAGTTTGAGTAAATTGCAACCGTTACAACATTGTGAAAAAAGTAACAATAACAAGAAACAGTGTAAATAATTAACATCAATAACAATAACAAGAAACAGTGTAAATAATAAACATCAATAACAATAACAAGAAACAGTGTAAATAATTAACATCAATAACAATAATAACAAACAGTGTAAATAATTAACATCATTAACAATAACAAGAAACAGTGTGAATAATAAACATCAATAACAATAACAAGAAACAGTGTAAATAATTAATTACAATAACAATAAGTGTGAATAATTAACATCAATAACAATCAGTATCATCAAAATGACAACATTGTAAATAATTAACATTAAATTTACTATACATAACAATAATAGACTATGGCAATAGATAACAATATAATAAACTGTGAAAAATAACGTAACATAAAAACAAAACTATATAACAAAAGGATGGATCTGGAGGGAGAAAAACTTTTTGATAGAATGCTGACAACAAGACATTTCATCACTTAACACTGTTGAGCGTGTGGCCCTCTAAAGGCACCACCAAGGAACTTCAAGAGCACAAATCCCATCACTTGACACGAATGTTGTTGCCGAAAGGGAGTAGTCTACCTTTTAATCAATGGTATCGCTGTATGGTAGCATATATTATCTCCTGCTTCAGACAGGGAAAATTATTTTTTGTCTGTAGTTGAGTGGTCACACTGTTTAGTAGCGTACTCGATCTCTTCCGCATCTCGATCTCAACTGCCATCATCGCTATTCACTCGGTCGGATCGAATCGTTATTGGCTATTCGTTTATTTCACCGGTTTATCGGTTAATTGCTGATCCTAATTCCTAACTAGGCTTATTCTTAAAACGGGATTTATAAACTGTGCCCATAGTAGCGATTAGTGTCCCACATTTAATCCAGTGCAATGGTTAAAGGAAAAAAGCCTACAAAGAAAGAGGTAAGTAACCTAATGTAATGCAAGTTAGTGGACTCTCGGCGTCCTTACGATCACAGTAACTCAATTCAGGCTATTATGTTATATTCATTTTTTTACCTATTTTTAGTTTACATAATTTTGGTCGATGTATGCTACTGGTCATAACAAACCCTATTATTTAGTTTCGAAAACATTAAACCCGTTGACCTATATTAATCATAAGGCCTACTTCATCTCAGAATCCCGCCAACCGCCATTTTTGTTTTTACTGATGCAGCACTTAAGCTATTGGCTAGCGTCATAATAACTTATTTTTACTTAGTCTAATCCTAAGCTTACAACAGTCAATTTTATTAAACTTTCGTCGTTTTTACTTAGTTAATAATTAACTTACTTGGTTATTTTGAAATGCCCAAATTTAGATACGGTATCTTGCACAAATTCTGGGCCTAAGTTATTGTTTTGTTAGGCCCATTAGGCCTACCTAAGTCCTCTAGGCCAAGTAAGGTCCTAGGCCTAGACATAAAATAACCGTGTATGCTATCCTTTAACCCAAGTTACCCAGAGAGCATACACCTAATTAATTCGTGTAGTCCTATTCCGCCCGAGTTTTATTTCGCCCGGAGCCTAATTACTCCCAATTCGCCCGCGGTCCCAGATTAACCCCTATAATCCTCAGCTCTACCTGCATCAGGAGTCCTATTCCATCCACGGAGGCGAAGCCCCGCCTCCTAGGACCCCACCCACCCCCAGATAATGTAGCTATAGCCTATAAAAGCCCTCCCCTACCCATCACCCCTACCACTTTATAATCTGGAACTTTCCTTTGGGTTGAAACGATTCAACAGTAATCTATATTGATAAATGCTTACGACATAACAGATTAATAAAATTGACTGTCCATGAACTGTTAGTTACTGTACGGCAACTGTATGTTTCTGTACGGCAAACAGAAACATATGAACACTGCAATCCAAGACATGGCCAAACAAAGGCCACTAGTTAGCTGCTTCTAGTGTTAAATACCCAACTGCACACCTTTGAGTTTTCTGTATTATACAATGTAAATAATTCGCCTATTGGGTTTGAAGATGATTGGAGTGTCGAATCAAACTCGATCACTATTTGCCATCTTTTATGTATATTTATCGTCTGGTGAGATAACAGTAAATTGTTTGACAAGGAAAATGTTATTCAAGATATTGTTTACATACCTTTGCCACGGTTATGTTGTCTTCTTGTCGAACCCTCTTCTTTGCGTTAGCAATAGCTTTTTTCACTTCCAACTTTGCAACGTCCGGAATACACTCATGAGCTTCTTCCCTCAACACTACTTCTTCCTTAACAATCACCTTTCCAAGACAACCTCCGTTATACGATTTACTACGCCACCAGATCACTTCACCTGATTTATTCTCGCGTTTTTATAATAGCCATACCCGTTGTAAATAAGACTAAGCTCACCTCTATTAGTAGTTGTGTACTCCATCGCGATGTGTAACAGTCAACGGCACATATGGAAATGAGATTTAGCTCTCATCTCCCCAAAAAGAAGCATACCGATGACGAATCCATAATGACCACCCCTCTTGGAAAAATGCGAAACTCTGCTATTTCTCCCCTGTTATTTCTCACGGACAACGCTTGGACATTCCAAGTCAACATCTCTCGCGCTTCATTCTCATCCAGTCTGGTTATTAATAAGAAAATATTGTCGTAGGTAAAGTAGTGTACGCAACTCGCGTAAAAAGAGTAAACGACACTCTTCTTAACGCATCTTAACGCATTCCTTGCATAAACTACTATATTACATTGTATATTAAAAGTAAAAAAAGATAGTCTAATAACACTTAAAACTTTTGTGCTCTCATGCTGTTATCTCACCAGACGATAAATTTACATAAAAGATAGCAAATGGTGATCGAGTTCGATTCGACACTCCAATCATCATCAAACCCAATAGGTGAATTATATACATTGCATAATAAAGAAAACTCAAAGGTGTGCAGCTGGGTATTTAACACTAGAAGCCGCTAACTAGTGGCCTTTGTTTGGCCATGTCTTGGATTGCAGCGTTATCTATCATATGTTTCTGTTTGTCGTTAAACGCAATATTAGCGAAATTTCCCTATAGGGAAGTAGCTATTACCGTAGGTCTCATGGTACCACTTAGGCTCGGGACCGATTTACTTTTTCATTTTGATGTCCCCAGAGGCCAAAAACACCATTCGTTCAAATTTTTATATATGTATATATACATATATGTATATATATGTATATATATATGTATATATATATATATATATGTATATATATATATATATATGTGTGTGTGTGTGTGTCCGTGAACACGATAACTTGAGTAATATTTATCCGATTTTGATGAAATTTGGTTTAAAGGTGTAAGGCGGGATAAACTTGAATGAGTTCGCGATCCAGCATGATCGGACCATGGGAACAGGGTTTTATGGGGGTTTTATGGGGTAAAAATTGGTTTTTCTCACTTTTGACCCTCAAAACACAAAATTTCCCAATTTTCCTCTAAACCTTCTTAAGGAGCTTAAAAAAACAAACAATTCAGTATTTCAAAAAGTTTTTGTATGGTTATTGGTTACGGAGAAAACTAAACAAATGGCCAATTTAAAATTCCCATGTTATTCTTATGGAGAATATTGTAAAATGTTGTAGTTTGCTTGTTTATGGATATCTTTTGATCAAACTTGGCAAATATATTCATTTTATACTAAACAATAATTATTTTACTTAAAACACACACTTCATTAGTTTCCTTGTAGCAGCGAACCTAGGTACTCGTTAAACCTAATGTTATTTAAATAGATCAATTGAAAATCAATTCAGCCAAATGGAAATTCGCTAAGACGGCAGGTTTGCTGCGGCGGGGGTATTTTAAATAATTAATTGCTTATTTGCACATTTTGGATAGGGAGACAAACATACAGTAACTAACAGCATATAGGTAGCAAATTTTATTAATCTGTTATGTCGTAAACATGTATCAATATCACTGTTGAAGCGTTTCAACGCAAAGGAAAGTTCCAGATTATAAAGATTTAACATATCTTTACAACGGCTACGTCAATAAGGGCACATGCCCCTTTATATTTTAGTGCATAAAACTTCGTCTTTAAACTTTACATTAATATAAAGGAAATTCGCTTGGTTTGTCTGGTTTGTCAAATAAATATTTTAAGCTTAAATAACCGTGTAGTCGGAGGTGGATAACGGGTTAATGGGTAGGGGAGGGCTTTCACATAGTTGGGGGTGGGTGGGGTCCTAGGAGGCAGGGCTTCGCCACCGTGGATGGAATAGGACTTCTGACGCAGGTAGAGCTGAGGATTATAGGGGTTAATCTGGGACCGCGGGCGAATTGGGAGTAATTAGGCTCCGGGCGAAATAAAACTCGGGCGGAATAGGACATAACCAATTAATTTACCTACTTTGGGTCGCTGGAATTTTACCCCCTGGGCAAAGCTGACGTCACTATGACGTAGGATCCTGAGTGGCCAAAAGTTTGTTCACGGCCGGAATTTTACCCCCGCGGATTTGGAAGTCTAATGAAAATAGCCAGAGCGTGATTAATTAGATTAGCGATAAAAACCAGAATTTTACCCCCTGTCCATATAACTAGCGTTTAGACAACTTAAGTTAAAGATGTACGGGCCGGATTTTTACCCCCTGGAATTTTACCCCCTGGCCTGTTTTAGAAATTGAATGATTGATTTTCTTATTTCTGTTTTTAATTAATTGTAAACATTTCATTATTTAATAGCCTATCAGGTCAATCCATATCAAGTGATCCAGAAATAAAATAATTGGTTGCTTGACCATTTTAAAAATAAATAATAATTTTATCCTAGATACCTCTATCAATTCTGGGTTCAAAAGTGATTTTAATTTTTTTTAATCTCTTTTGTTACTTCTACGGCGGCCATTTTTGTTTTGCGGAACACGCAAATTTTTGCTCATGTAAGGGTTTGCGTTAACTTGCACAACTCGGTAACCATGAACACTAGAGTGATGAAACACAAAGCATTTTAATCTGGAAGAAACAGCCTAAATATTATGTTCAGTACATATTTATTGAAATGTGTATCAAAAACAGTTATAAACCCATCTCAACATTTCATAAGAAAACGGAAAAATTTCAACTTTTGAAGGCGTATTACCATTGGAACTGAATAAAATCTCAGACTTGATTTTTTTTGTGTGTGTAGCAACTCAGTAGAACTGTTTGTATTTCAAATATCAACCATGAGACTTAATTCCTTTAAGTTATCATTTTTCAAAAACTGAATTTTTTTTTTAAATTCAAATTTTGAGTCTCATACCTATCTTTGTTGGGACAAAGTTTAAAAATCTGAAATTTTTACCAAAAACCCCTCTTATGGTTGTTATACTGCTGTATGAATTTCATCTTTGAGATTTACTTTTAAGCTAAGTTAGGCCTACAGTATCATGAAAATCACAAAAAACCCATAAGCTCGGCCAACGTGGCTAGTACTGTAGGTAGCTTAAAGATTAATTTATAGGTGTAGGTAATTATTTTATTTAATGTAAACTTATCTTAATGTTCATTTCAAAAATCCAAAACAGATTTTTAACTTAAACTTTGTACCCAAAGTACAAATTAGGCCTATATACTACGGTACTAAAAATAAATAAAATCCTGCTAAATTTTAAGTTTTATTCATCATTTAACTTAAATAAAACTTAGTTAATTCTATTTATATTGAGGTCTTAAAATTTATTTTCCATTTAGATTAAATTTAATGTACCGTAGGGGTAACCTGTATAACACAAATCAATAAGTGTTTATTGTGGTATTTTGAAAAAAATAACTCATATTCTGTGGGAACTGATACAGTCTCCAGTACCTACAGGAAGTCGTAAATGAGTCACAAAACACAGTTTTTCTTAACAAAATAATTCATTTTTATAACAGATGAAGAAATCACTCAACACCTCAACAACAAACTCCTGGACCGATTTGACAACTATTT